AGACAATCAATCATTCAAATGTTTAACCACTGCAAACATTTGAATGTTTAAGCCTAAACATTCAAATGAATGTTGCTCGATAAGTTTCGACATGTTCGTTCACACAACAACCCAATAAAATTCTACATTCCCACTACATTCCCACACTGATAGAAGATTAGATACATATAATGTAATGTTTCAAAATAAATGGTAGAGTTCTATACTTTTAGGCATTACATCAATTACTTCATTCTTTTCTTCATTTAATTTCAAAAGGGAGACCAAAAAGGATATAAATTTCAACTATTTACAATTTTTTTCACTTTTCATCATCTTTTTCAACATTTTTCATAATTTCCGTAAAACGAAATACTCTATAAGATTCTTGCAAAGACAGAGGAGTAGGAGTAAATTTTTTTAAAAAAACAAAGAGCACGAAAGCAGAGCATCACCTGACCTGACTACCAATATCCTTTGCAGGAGCAAGATCCGTTCTTGAAATGATGGAAACGGCTCGAATCTCTCAAAATGATTTCATGATCAACGATCTTAGAAATATACGTGATGGCCAAATGGCAGTCCCCACAGACACGGAGGTTCTTCGTTATCCTAATGGGCACCCCAGGGGCAGATGTGAGAATCCCATAAGCCAATGCCAACTTCTCGCTGTGTTCAGAGAGCAGGTCCCCCTTCTCCTCATCATCCACATCGTGTAGGGCAAAGCTGATTTCTGGGACATACCCCATCCCTTTGGCACGGCCGATCAAGTCTGAGAGGAGATTGTGTATTTCATGAGACATTGGGTGACTTCTGTCTCCCACAAAGAACACTGAAGTCCCTTTCTTTCCTTGAACCCAGCTGCACCCAGGTCTCTTCTTGATCCCAGAGTGTTTCATTAGAGACCTTACGCGGGCCACGTCTTTCCAACGTTTGGCGTTCGCGTATATGTTTGAAAGTAGCGTGTAGGACCCGTCGTTCTCTGCTTCTAACTCTGACAGTTTGGCTGCTGCGTGTTCTGCAATGTCTACGTTCTTATGAACCCTGCAAATAGACAGTTGTAAGGGGATTGCATAGTTTCGATTCTTGGGTTGAATTTGTACAGCACAATACAAATTCAAAAATAAAGAATAAGGGTCCCATTGTCCCAATAAGATTGTGTTTTGAGATTTGAATACTTAGATTTCATTTGATAACTTAGATTTCAATTCTAAAATTTGAATTCTTGAATTTCATATTTTAAGGGGGAATTATAGATTTGTAATTGAGAATTAGAGGAATATGGCACAAAACCAAATCCAGAATTTTTGGATTCCTAAATATGTAATTTGAGTCAAATCTGGATTTGAAATCAAAATCCAAGTTCCCAAATAGGCCATAAGAGTATTCAAACTATGAATAACATACTCAAAACCATACTCATTCATCTTTGCATTTGGAGTTTGGACACTTCTGCACCACGGAGCAAAAAAAGAGTGCATAATTTCAAATGTTGATACCCATTTTTATTTTTATTATTGTTGAGAATATTTGAACAATAAAGGATAAAAATACGAATATAAATGTATATTTCAATAAAGATATTCAACAGAAGGTTTTAGCGTTGTTTATTCTTGACCAAATATTTGTGAACTTCTGGTTCTAAGATACAATTGAGAAAATACAAGACAAACTTTTTCCCCATTTCCCCTCCTTATTTCATCTTCCTAACCAATCAAAGAAACATCTTTTCCCATTTCCCCTCCTCATTTCATCTTCCTAACCAATCAAAGAAACAAGTGTGTACAAAAACTCATCCAACTTTCTAGGGTATCATAGAAATTCTGAAAAGAATATGAATGAATGAATGAACTGTACCTGCAAGCACTGAGCAAAGAGAACCAAATTATTGAGGTGGGGTCCATGGGCATGTCGCGTATCAGCTCCAGTGCTTCATCCAAACGACCGGCACGTCCCAAAAGGTCAACCATGCAGGCATAATGTTCAATCTCAGGAACGACTCCGTGATCTCTCCTCATGTTGTTGAAGTAATCCATCCCATTGTCAACCATGCCTGAATGGCTGCATGCATACAACACGACCAAAAAAGTCACACCGTCGATCTCTAGGTCTCTCTGCTGCATTGTTTCAAACACTCGAAGAGCATCCTCTCCCCGGCCGTGCATTCCATATCCCGTCATCAGCGAGGTCCAAGAAACAGTGTTCCTGTGGGCCATGGTATCAAACACTGTTCTCGCTGTATCAATGTCACCTGCTTTTGCGTACATGTCAATGAGACAATTAGACACAAACAACATCCAAGTTTCACACTGGTTGCGCAAAATGTACCCATGAATCTGCTTGCCAGCCCTGAGAGAAGACAAACGGGCAGAAGCCATCAAAGCACAAGATAACGTGAACCCGTTCGGTATTAAAAAGGAACGATTTTCCTTCATCATCAATGAGAAGAGTTTCAATGCCTCGTTGGCATCTCCGTGCTGGGCGTATGCACCAATCATGACGGTCCAAGTCACTATATTACGGTCTCTCCATTCAATATTGTCAAAGATGGCACGCGCCACCTCTACATTCTTGCACTTTGCATACATATCTATAAGACTATTAATGCCCATTTTATAATCCTCGTCGGTCTCATTATCCCCCTGCTGACTCAAAATCTGTTTGATGGCATAGCAATGAGTCTCTTTCCCTTGATTCAATGCTCCGACAGAAGCACAACCAGATAGAACAGAGGAAAGGGTGACAACGTTAGGGTTTGTCCCAGAAAGGATCATTTCCCGGAAGACATTAAGAGCTTCATATCCAAGGCCCCTCTGGGCATACCCTGCAATTACAGCACTCCACGTGATAACATTCAAATCAATCTCTTGTTGTCTCATTCTTTCAAACAATCCTAACGCCTCGTTGAATTTCCCAATCTGGGAGAACCCAGTGACCATTGCATTCCAAGAAACCACATCTTTCACCTCCATACGTTCAAACACTTTGTTGGCCTCATTCATTTGCTCACACTTGGCATACATGTCCACGATGGCATTACCCACAAAAACATCCTCGTATAAACCTGAACGAATAGCATATCCGTGGACTTGTTTGCCTAGCTTCCATTCCCTTGTAGGAGCACACGCCGGTAGCACATTAACTAAACTAATCACGTCAGGGCGGAGTTCAATATTGCATCTTGAAATCATGGAACCAAATAGCCCCAAAGCTCTCCCGAATTCTTTACCATGCACGTAAGCAGCTACAATGGAGTTCCACGAAATGACATCGTGAATTCCTCTCACAACCGTTTCGTTGAACACCTTGTGTGCGTGACCCAGAGCGCCACACCTCCCATACATTGCTATGGCACTGTTGCAAACGTAGACATTGTTGTCATTCCCAGTCACCAAGCAGAAAGCGTGGACAGACTCTCCAATACGTAAGGAGGAGAGCTCCCCACAAGCCTTGAGCACGTAAGGGAGAGTGTACCCATCTGGGGCCCACTGCAGCCTCACCATCTCGCGGAACAGGGAAACAGCATGGTCGTAAAAGCGAAGGAAGACGCATCGCTTGATCAGATTGTTCCACCAGAAAACAAGATGCGGATCGGCGGCGCCGGAAACAATGAACTTGGCCTTGACACAAGACTTGCATCGTTTCAGGAGTTGGGAGAATCTGGAAGGAGTTGAGGTTGTTGAAGAATATAAGAGGTGATTAATTGTAGAAGGAGCGCGGCAGAGGATGCTGGAGTGTGGAGGTAGGAGCTTCAGACACAGTGAGGAAGAGAAGAGCATGCCCTACAACCTCCAGTTCTCAAGAATGATAGATTGAAATACAGAATGGTTTTTGCCTTGAAAAATGGATAACCAGATGATGAGTTTTTGCATTACAAGAATGACAGATGAGTCCTTCAATCTCTTTTTTTTGCCTATCAACTCAACCTATTTGATCTTTAGATATCACTTTGCTCAATTTCAATTACATTTAGCATCCGTTTGGTACATGTAGCCAAATTCTATGGAATTCATTTGAATGGAATTGAATTCTCCAGTTTCAATTTATTTTTAGCACTACCAATTCCAAATCCACATATTTTTGTGCTGCTAAACAGCAGAATTGTTGTTTGTTGTCCTTAATTCTAATTCCATAGTTTGAATTCCATGTACCAAACGGAGCCTTATAGTGCTCTTCTAATCTAATTTGTTACCTCATCAAGGAAAAAAAGTTAGACTGGTCCCTATTAACTTACTAATGCATTTCCTTATCATAGTCAAAACTTTAAAATTCATATTTTATATATGACATTCCTATATTTGATATATACTCAAAAAATGTGTAATAGAATTATAGTCAAAAACTTCAAAATTTCAGATATGCTTTCATCTTTATAACATTTCCAGCATCATTCATTGATCCACATAATCAAATTCAAAACAGGCAGCATTTTTCTGATTTCAATTTACATGAATTCCTCTTAAATTGCATAAATGCTTCTAATTCACACAAATTCTTCGAACTTACAAGCTTCCTAGCTGAAAATTTATACAATTTGGGGAGAATTATTTTTACCACAATTTTTTCAAAAAAAAAAAAGGAACAATTACTTATTCTGCAGTTGACTGATTATATTTTTTAGAATACATAATAATTGGGTTAATTAAGAAACAGGAATCGTCTTCTTACCTAGAGACCGGAGGGGCGCAGTAGGAGCGGGAGGGCTGAGCCGCAGAAACGGTCTGCTGGGTGGTGTGGTTTACGCTCCTTGACGTCGCCGGCAAGTGGGGTGGCGCGGTCGGGCGGAGAGAGTTCACAGTGTGTTAAAAGAGGGTATTTGACTTACATTTTGAATTTTGAAAAGGATTAAGTTATTTCTATGTCAAATATTGTACCCCACTTTAAGATTTATGTACCAATACTATAACTTAAGTTTGTACTTTATCAATAATGAAACTTTAATAAACAAAACTGGATGTTGTAAAAAATCTCTCAAACAAAAATAATACAAAAAATACGAAGTATCTGTTTATCAAAACAAACTGAAAACATCAAGCCGGTCCTAGTTCAAAAATGGTACCCAGGTGTGAAGGTTAACCTGGATCAACTGAATGATATACCCATTTGGATACAGCTGCCTGACCTAGACATGAAATACTGGAGCCTGACTGGTTTAAGCAAGATTGGAAGCTTGGTGGGTAAACCAATCAAACGAGACCGCCCTACTGCCAATAAGACTAAATATGCTTATGCAAGGATACAGGTGGAAGTTAAAGTCCAACAGGAGTTCCCTATGATGGTTAGCTTTATAGATGATGAAGAGAGAGTGAGGAACCAGCAGATCAGATATGAATGGTACCCTTGTATGTGCTCTCAGTGTGGGAAATTGGGACATGTGCAGGAATCTTGCAGGAAAAAGGGAAATAAACCTCATGAAGTAAGAAGGAAGTTGGTATGGAAACCCAAACAGGGGGAAGTAGAAAAGGATCCAGCATCTGAAATAGCAAAGGAGCCTGAGACTGAAATGGAAAACAAAAAGGGAGCACCAGAGATTGCTCTTGAAGAAGAATTTAAGGTGGTTACTGGAAAGAAAGCAGGGAAACCTAAGATGGTGGAAAGTAGTGAAGGGTCTGGAATAGAAGCCTTAATGAGGGTTATGGAAAATGCCCCATATACTGGGCATTATCCTTTCCTAACATGATTGGGAGCTGGAACATAAGGGGATTAAGTAGCCCCTTGAAACAGGAGGAAATAAAGAGAGTAATAAATAAATATGGTATTGGATGGATGGGCATACTAGAAACTAAAATAAAGGAGAAGAACTTTGTTGGGATTGAGGATAAAATGTTTAAGGGATGGGGATCGTTTATAAATAGTGAAGCCCACCCTCTTGGCAGAATATGGGTGGTCTGGAACAAAAACAAATATGAAGTACAAATTATTGATTGGAGTGATCAGCTGGTTCACTGCAAAGGAAGAGTTATTGGGGAGACCCAGGAATTTTATCTAACTTTTGTGTATGGGCACAATAATCCACAAGAAAGGAAAGGACTCTGGAAACACCTGATAAGATTAAGTGCTACTATTCAAAATGGATGGGGGATTATTGGAGACTTTAATTCTGTTCTGTGCTTGAAGGACAGAATTGGGGGGAACAATATTACTGAAGAAGAAACAAAGGAATTCAAGGATTGTATGGCAGCTTGTGGAATGGAAGAAATTCCCAGTGAAGGCAGCTACTATACTTGGAACAACAA